TTATACCTTGACTTAATAGGTTCTACCGTCTAAACCACAAAACAAGCAATGTACTTTTCTAAACAACACACACCACAAGTTCTTACAAATGTTTTTCCCGTCATTCAAAATTTATGGCAATCACACAATCGATTATATCATAATAGGGTTGCATAACATTTAACTACTTGGGTAATATAAATGAAAGAACTGCATGATAATACAAGGGGCGTCTTTGAATCTACTTTAACCGAAATGATCTCCAATCTGAAATTTTTAATTTTTCATGTTTTTAAGTATAAGCTGAAAGCATTGTGTCTAGCAAATTAAAAAGTCAGCTGTTCATGGACTTGCAGGTAAATTTTGAGTTGTGTTTAATTTTTCTGTCCTGTGTTTTGAAATCTTGGTTTATATACTAAAATTGTTACAAATTATCAGATTTTTAACTTTTTAGTGTAAGGAAATATTAAGTGAATTATAATTTCTTAAGCTGTCTTTTTCCGCAGTATTCTGTGCAAATGATGACTAGAAATCAGCTGATATACTGTGATGGAATTGACTGATTTAATGAGTCTGATGAGCACTATGCATTTAAAAGTTTTCTCATTTTGTTACACTCTTGTTAATGGTCTGCGTTTTGCAAAGTATTTAACCATAGCATTTTAATCTCTACATGTAACCAAGAATTGTTATGTCTTTAACATTTGTGCATCATCTTCTGAGTTTGTAGATTATCCTTATAGTTAACAAGCCTGCTGTAGGTTCTGGTCACATGATGGCTTTTGGTTATAAGGTATAAACCAAGCTTCATTGTTGGTTAACTACAACTTGCTACATTCCAAAAACTGATTTGAGGATTTTATCTTGTTATAATAATCTACCTATCACGATAAAGCAAATACGAGCTGACTTTTGATCAACAGTTGGATCTGCCATTTATATTTTACTTGATTTGCTACCGCTTAAATCTTATTAAACAGGTGTGAATGGATTAATGACTTTTATGCATTATGACTGAAAACCTTCATCTGAACTAAGCCTAAGGGGTCAGATACTGTTGAAGTCAAAATATAGTTAAACAAAATAACATTTTTAGATCTTTATAATTAACTATTTTATGACATGAAATTTTGAATGCTTATTTTGATATCCCTGAAATTGTATTTATTTGTTCTGTTACTTATGTTCCATATATCAAAATATATCCATTCAAATACTTTGAGCCATTGCCATAAAATTGTTATATGTACTGGTTAATGGGCAAACAAATCACTATTTTTTAGCCTTTTCTCCTTAAAATGAGGTAGGGAAATGACTATATAGAGTGACCAGATGAGCCATTTTTCCAGTATTTATGCAGTTTAACAAAATTTCATAGAGATATAGTTTAAAAAATAATGCACAAAGTAGGAAAATAAAAATTATATGAAGTTGTAAATGCAAAATAAAGTTACCTTAGAGGCACAAGCTTGTTAAAATGTTTCTAACTAAACATTTTATCATATGTTACTATATTATTAATTGTTCCTATATGTGATTTTATTTTATAGAAATAAAATTGCATACAGGAGCATATGAGGAATTTCCTGAAATGTAAACAGGCATGGTTCTTAAGTGGCAAAAGCATAACTATATTTATGCTATTACTTTGTTTCTAGAATGAATTTTTATGTGAATTTGTAATTCTTGTATAAAGTACTTGTAAAAAAATTTTTTAAATTTTTTTTAACTCTTCCTTATTTTTTAAAAGTAAAGTTAGTAGTTGTCAATTTTGCATGTGCCATTAAGTAGAGGAACTGGAGCCAGCACAAAATCATGATATCCTAGGTCTTTAAAGACATAAGAAAGTACTATACCGCATAAGTGGTTAAAGACGAGCTGCGTTGCCAAGGCAACCAGTCTGTGCTACGTCACAAAATCTGGTTTTTAGGGCTTGTGGCATAAGGTTCCAAGTTTTCAACATAAGTGTCGACCAATCGGAACAAAGCTTAATGAAGTGGCTCTCTGCAGACGATATCACTGTTACATCGAATGCAACATTTTTTTTTTTTTTTTTTTTTTTTATATGGAGCACATCGTATCCAAACGAAACAATGAGTTGATCTTGAAAGAAATCTATGATGATGACATGCATTTTTTTATAAGTTTTCACAATAAATTGAAAAATATGGATGAAACTCGTAAAGCAAAAGCTCATGCACACTGTGTATGATCCTGTAGATCAATTTTTCTCAACCACTGTGCCGCCAAATTTTAGAAATGTATACAGTACAATTTATAATGGGTTTTAATACGGTACTCATGAAAATTGACAAACTTCGTTTTTTAAGACGTTAATAAGCTCAACAATTGTGTTATCCAAGCCGATTTGGTGGCAAATATTTCTACATTTAAATTAAATTTGAACGAATAGGAAGATCTGATCTCGCTTTCTAATTGAGATTTAATTTTAAAATATTCTGAAGAATCGATCAATTCGTTTTGGATTAACATTAGATGCGATTATCCCATGATGGCCAAAAAAGCTTTAAAAATATTATTACGGTTTGTTATATCTTATTTGTGTTAATTCGGATTTTCAGCATTAACCAACATAAAAACAAAAAACAAGATCGAGACTGTTAAATGTAGAAGACAATATGAGAGAAGCATTGTCATTTTTACGACCAAATATAAATGAAATCATCAAAAAAAGTCAAGCTCAAATTTCACATCAAAAGTATTCTTATTATTAACTTGTATTTAATCCAATAATAAACGTACTGCTGTTTTTGTATTGCATATTATATAGAATATTATCTACATTTACCAAAACCCACTTCAGTAGAATTAAATCACAAACATTTAATCTTTATAAGTGTACCTGAAGTGTTTCCTGCTATCATTCTAATATATGGGCATTTAGTTTTAAGAATTGCTGACTGAATTGCTCCTTTTGTAATTTTTGAGATTATTATCTGCTGTTAGGATTATACCCAAAGCATAAAAGGTTCATTTAATACTAAACATTAAGTGTAAATGAAAAGGAGAGGCTTTTTGTATGCTATTACGTATGCTCTGGAAGCTGGAGAGTAAATTAGATCGGTGCAAGACAGTATTCTGTGGTTAGGCATATTGTCTCTAAATTATACAAACATATCTTTATGGGTATGTGTAGTATAACAGGGTCCCGACTTTGAATAAATACAATCAAAGTCCCCCCGTCAAGTTAATGCATGGCTTGTTGCTTTCTAGATTTGTTGAATGACATGCCAATCGTTCTTTTATAGCAAGTAAAAGTAACTGCGTTATAGGAAGGCAACTTCCCTCTCCTTTGTTTAACTGTTGATGCTCACAGATAGAATCCTGCCCTGAGAAATTGCACACAGTAAGGTTTTCTTAGACCTAGTTAGAGTATTTTTTATGGGCTTTAAAACTGGCTGCGTGGCCTGATCCACAGTTGACATTGGTGGTGTTCATCTTTCCCTTTGGGGCAATATCTAAAATTGTGGTTTTGACCTGCATTTGATGCAGCAAGTCATTGTTACACACAGTTTGGGAATGGTGGAATTTCTAACAGCAGGAGCATTGAATAAATACATCTCTGAAAGTGGTCCTTTAGTACTCATCAACAAGCACCTCTTGTAGCGAACCACTTGGCTTCCAACTAGCCATTGTATTATGAAAATTGGTATCTTTTTTCAATGCTCTGTTGTCATCTTTTAAAGTTGTAATAATTTTTTGTCAGCTTTCCTGTAACACATGCACCAACTTGCTAGTTCAGAATCATTCAGATCTTGAATAAATACAATACTAAGAAAAATATTTACAGTTCAGATTTTTAAAATATATACAGTAAAATTCCAGAAATCCGCAAAGCTTGGGACCAGAGGTTGTGCAGATTTTAGGATTTTGTGGATTTCAGGACAGAAAAGATAAAGCATAATATTTGGTCTAAAAGTGCAAAATGAAAAAGGCATATTAGATACATTTAATTAAATTATTATTACATATATAAATTGATTATATTATTCATTGTATTATATGTTCACAGCATCGAGGTTTGCCGATTTCGCCTAATGCAAAGATTTCCACTTTTGAATTCCGGTGTTAGAATCACTGTAAAATTTCAACAGCTTATCTTTATTTTTCTGTATATCATACACAATCGTGTTGCAATTCCATACCATTCTTCTATAAATCGAGGAGTAGCACCTGTTGTCATCTTGCAGAATTTGCACTTTTTGCGTTATCGTCAATGTGACGTGTTTACGTTTTTCAACGTTGCAAGCAGTAAAATCACGAGTACGTTTCTTATCTGTCATTGTATTAAAAAGGGCTGAAATTAAAAATATTGTTAATTTATCCACAAAACATCCGGATTAAAAAAAGGCAGTACTAAACAGTCTCGTGAAATGAAATAACAAAGCTCAGAAAATACATCGTGAACTTGAACAAAGAGTGGAGTGAATCGTCTGCTTTTTTACCTCGATGCAAATTAGAGGGGGAAAACTTCTCATTTATTATCTTATTTTTTTAACTTTTTTATATCAATAATTTGGTATTTCCGTTTTGACTCATTATTATTTGGTAATTAACATGTCATTATTCGGTAAGTATTTTTTCTTTGATATTTCATACTCAATGTTGCGGTTTCTGGAACCTATAGACTGAATGCTTACATTTTGAGAGGCAACGCGGATTTCAGGTCGGTGGATTTTCGGTAAAGTTCTGTTGAACATTTGAGTAGTTAAGATAACTACTGTGAGATATTGTAATACTGCACGATAATTTGAGGAAATTTAAGCATATTTCTTGTGATAATAATACATTTTTGTTCATTTTTCATCGGACTTGTGCATTCATTTCGTAACGAACCCGTATGCACGCAACAATATTATGTTCTTGACGAAAATATTCTTTGAATTTTGTATTCGATACTACAAGCATTAGATTTCAAGTACAGATGATGACTTCTGAATCAGCTGATAAAACTGTGATGGCATTGACTGATTTAATGAGTCTGATGAGTATTTTGGCAGTCAAGTATTTGAATTATGAATTTAATAGAATTCAGCAGAATATTCAGTATAGTAGATAATTTAATATATTTCATAATTTTCTGTGCTAATTCTTTCCTTTATTTTCAGCCTGAAAAAATTAGCACAATTTTAAAGGCTGCAAATGTAGATGTTGAATCGTATTGGCCAGGTATTATTCTTTGAAATCTGTTACTATTAATTTATTACTATGTTTTAAATTCATAATAAAGATTTCATACTCAAGCAAAACATCTATAACTTGCAGGTCTTTTTTCTCGAGCGTTGGAAGGAATTGATATAAAGCAGCTGATTACAAATGTAGGATCAGGAGTTGGTGCTGCACCAGCAGCTGCACCTGCATCTGGTGGTGCTGCTCCAGAGGCATCTGGAGGAGAAAAGAAAGAAGCTAAGAAGGAAGAAAAAGAAGAATCTGATCAATCAGATGATGACATGGGTTTTGGTAATATATTTTCCCATAGATATTGTTGCACAAGAATTACTTCATTTGCATGATATAATTCCAGCTGTCAGTTTAATAATTTTATTATACATTATACCCACAAGTGCCCTTACCCGGCCTTAATTTTTGCAGCTATTGGTCATAGAAATATACTTCAATTACAAAAAGGCTTTTAAGGACTCAAAGTTCATGTTTTTATGCTTTTAAATTAAAAATTATGCATAGAATACAAAATCTAATTTTTGGCTCGTTCTTCAAGTTTTCATGGCTTGTCATTTTTGCAACACCAGCAATTAAGTTATGGGATGATTTCTTTTGAATTTTTCCAGAAAGTATTTGTATTGAAATATATTTTTAACTGAAATAATTTTCACAAAAGTGGTAATTAAAAAGTCTTGCAGAAATAACATAGGAATATTTTTAATACAAAGCTTTTCACTTAAGCTATGAGTTGTTGCTGTTTATGTAAAATGTTTGAGTCTTCTGATGATTTTGTTAACGTTATTTTAAAATACAGATAAAGCAGTTTTCTATTTTCAAGCCGGTGTATCTTGTTAAGTTGTAATGATTTTGTCATGTGAAATAAATATGGCTACTTTCTAGTTGATGATGCATCTGTTTAGTGGAAATGTTGTTATGCCAGATTATTATGCTAAATAGTTTGTCTGTTAATGTTTATTTTGCTAAATGAAAGTAAAAATGGTTATAAATAGATAAAACATTGCTCATTTTAAATTTAATGCTGCTAATAATTAAGTCTGATTTTTAATTTATATGAAAATATATGTTTTCCAAGTATAAATTTAGATGAAATTACAGTAAATGTTAGACAGAAAAGAAGTTTGTAATAATTTTTCTGATTAATTTTTATTTGAACTGTAGTTAATATATTAGATATTTGGTGAGTATTCTATGAAGACTTAATTAATGTATGTAAATTTATTTTGTACTATTTAACTTTTAATTTATAGATGGAATATCACCAATTTTTTCTAAATGAGTACATGCTTTATTAATTACTAATTTTGTTTTCAATGTGTTTAAAAACATTTTGACAAAATTTTTCTCAGGTTTTTTCATTGGTTTAAAATATTTAAAAAGAAAAACCACAAAAGTGAAGGAAATAAGCTCCAAACCAATTTTAGTTTATTGTACAAATAAATTTTGATGTCAGTATTTTGCATTAAAATGATGCTGTAACTAGTTTAATAGCTCAGTTACCCCATAAGTGAAATTTTGAGGCCATAAATTCAGTTCGTTGTGTAGTGTGAACATACCCTATTTTAATATTTTAAAATTAGTGTCTGATATTAAATTTTCAAACTGTTTTAAATTGTCAAACGAGCATAAAGAGATACTGTTTTGCCTTTGGTAGGAATCTTCAGAACAATATTTGCCTGTTTCTTTCCAGTTGGCAAATTTCTTGGGTTATCTCCAAATTAGTATTTAAAAAAAGTGTTAGATTGAAGACTAAAAATTATATGCAAAAAAAAATGAGCTTTTCTTGTTTTCTAATTTGAAGTATCCTCCCAAAAAATAGTTTTTTTAGTTTAATATTAAGTACATTTCATTGTTTAAGTTGAATGTAATTAAACTAAAACTGAATCCTAAACTTATGAGAAATAGAAGTTCTAGTTATTAAGAAATTTTTAAATAAATACTTGTCATTGCTTATTTTGAATACAATGAGTTTTCTTATTTCTTTCAGGTCTTTTCGACTGAGGGACCAAGATATATTTGTATTTTGTACAATAAATCAGTCTTTTAAAATTGTTTTGTATTTTTTCAAATTAAAAACACAACCTTTAAACTATCCTCCATAGTTATTTGCCATATTTGTTGATCGCAACAAAATTTTCGCATTGTAAAATAGATGCTAATAACACACTGAAACTCATAACTTAACTTACTGATCATGGCAAAAAGAACTATTAACATCATAAAAGCTTTTTTTCATTGTTGCTTCAAATCTTGCTTCACTTAGCATTACAGGTTTAATACATTACCATATGGAATGTAGAGACAAAGAGGAAAACTCAGCTTTAATAAGATATAATAAATTGCACCAAATTTGTGTTTCAGAAGAAAATTTCCTTTACCCATGTAAAACACATTATTTCATTAATAATATTGTATCTGGACATATTGCACTGATTAAATCTGAGGAATATTCATTCTGTTTTAAATTTTTGAATCTAAATTAGTGATTCACCAAAGAACTGTATTTTTAGAAAAATTGAAGGATTTTCCTAACAACCGAGTTAGAAAAAGGTAAAATTTCTTTTTCATAATTTCAAATTTATAGACATGTTTTGCATGCTTATAAATTTATCAATTGAAATTATTTTATTCCTCAACACTTGCTTAATGGCTGCTAGTCTGACAAGTCACTAACAGTATTTGCAAGAGGAATTGTTTTTAATTTTAATATAACTGAGGAAATGAGTTTTTCCCCATGCAGCAAACTGAAAATATTTATTTAAAAAGAACTTATTTTATCTCCTCTGGGAACAAATTAACAGACTAAATGAATGTCTCATAACAATCTTAGAATTGTAACTTGGAATGCAAATGCCCTCTTCTGCAAAGAATTATGAATCTGGGAAGTTTTAGGCTTAATGGCCAAATTTAGCATTCATAACTCCGAAGTATACAGAGTTGATTGAATACCACACTCGGTAAAGGAGGAAGCTTTCGCTTCATAAGCTGTCCAGTTACATTTCTGCAGCTTTCAGACATTAAGGCCCTAGCTATTTCCATCATTCCATGGGTATGACAACCAGTCACTGTTATTTCTGCTCATGTCCATTTATATCAAAGATCACACCAAAGTATCAAGTTGGACTTATAGTTGCTTGCACAGTGTAACAATCAAATTATATTAGGTGAAGATTTTACTGCACTTCACTGGAAGTAGTGCTGCATAAATAATACATACTTAGGAAATGTAATTCATTGTGGCCGGTTTTAGGATTGTTCAACAGTCACCATGTGATATTGATTTCTGTTTTGCTGTGGGGAGATCAAGGCACACATGTGGAAAGTCTTTGTGAATACCCTTGGGTCATAGTTATTTGCCATAACATCCAGTGATACAGCTTTTATTATTGATTGGTATAAAGCAGCGGTTTTCAACCGCTTGACTAACGCGTATCATCTAAACAAAAATTGAAAAAAAAACCTTAGTATCACTAGTACATTTTGCAGTGATTATTTTTCAATTTCTCAATAGAAATATTTTGTCATTTGCACAACTAATTTGCTTTATTTATATTAAAATTGAATGCATAAAAAATATTAGATTAAAAATTATTTTTACTATTAAAATTTAAGTTATAATAATTTATTTCTGAAATTTGGGCCTGTATAAGAGATCAATTTCTTTGTCTGTCTTGGTCTTATTTCATTTAGTTTTAACCATCAATTAGGATCCACTTTTAATTTTGTTCTATATTAATTTTCAAACATAGCATGGAAGAAAATCCCTGTTCACACAAATAGGTTGTGCTAAAAGGTGGTAAAAATTTAATAGCTTTATTTGAAACGCCTTTAAATACTTTTTTTGGTTCAGCTAAGTAAAGTGTGCTATTTTTGAAATCTTCATTTAGATTTTAATCATAAGAAATGTGCATCAATTGTTCTTTTTCTTCACAAGATTTTTTAATTTAGTAGTTTAAAATACTTTGCATACCACCTATTTTTCTCTTGCGTACAACCAGTTGAGAATCACCCGTATAAAAAGTTTTTAACAATTTATATTACTCTAAACCCCCAGTACATTAGGGTTGAGTTAGATGCTGTTATTGAAGACTTCAAGAGTGAATTGGCAATCTCCTGTAGACTAATTAATTTGCTCTCAGGACTGCGTAAAGTTGTTGAGTATGATATACTGAAAAAAATGGGAGAGTAACATTATCCCAAAACAATTTGAGTTTCAAAGAAAAGCATTCCACAGTTCTACTTAGTCACTGAGATGTCTCAAATCTACGTTCGCATTGGTCTATTAGCAGGGAAACATGGAATTTCAGGAAGGAGCACAAAGCAGTAATTAATTCAGAGGTGGTAGTAGCTCCAACATTCTTCCTCATTAGTTTCAAATAACTAGTTTATAATTTTGTTACTTAATGTGCTTTAAAAAATTTTGAGAAGAGTAATATAGGATAATCCTAATGAAAAATATTGATAGTGATTTTAAAAATGTAGAAGTTAATGCTGTAATTAAATTATTTAACTTGTATGCTATTCGGTCACCCCATGACCGGCAAGGCCAAGATTCCTAGAAACAATTTGAGTAAATTTTCATTATTACTAAAAATGGTGTGAAGAAACTAATGTAATATAGAACATACAAAAATAATTTTATGACATGTAAGCTTGAATATTATTCATGCATTTTGCAATGTGTTGTATTGAAACACATTCAAGCATGTAAACCAGTGCAAACTTCTGGTACAGTTTTTTTGCCATTAATTCTACCCAGGTTTTTCAAATTTTATTGGTAGCACACTTCACAAAATCATTCTCACCTTGTCATTTTTTAAGTTGACCTGTTTATTGTAATTAATATTTTGTCAAAATATTCCATGCATAATGAGAAATTCTAAAGTTTACTGAGAGTAACTAACCATAAACGAGATATGGTTTGTAATTTTTGGGAGAAAGACATAGATTGTGTAGTCTAACATTGTTACCCGACATGTTACGTTTACGACCTGTTGTCTAATGAATTAGGCCTTGGCCTATGATATTTACAGAAATTTCACTAACGATAAGATTTCAAAGGCTACTATGCTGTTGCATCAGGTTCTTCTATTTACAATAAAATTAATGTAAAATCCTTACCTGCTTCATCTTCGGTGTTCTCGACACCAGGCTTCTAATAATCACGTTTTCCAGTAAGAGTTTCTATTAGAATTAACAGGCCATCTTGTCTTTTACTTATTTATTGAAATAAGGCACTATTTACAAGGTAGGTAATAATTATTTTAATTCTCTGAAGTTTCGTCTTTACGCTCCTCAGAGCGGTTCCAATCTAGTCTCGTTCCCGGAACTTAATTACAGCAAAAGTAAAGGAAGAGATGCCTGCCATCTAGTGGCAAGAATGTGGCATCCTCACACCTTTTGATTTTACCTTGTTAAGATGGGAAAATCAAAACAAAATTTATCAATAATCAAACAAAAATTCAAGTACAACTTTCACAAATATGAAAAGTAACTAATGCTCTAAAAAAATTAATACTTACAAAGAAGGATTATACATCTGAACATTTTCTGCATTACATTCATTTCTGCACGCATTCCAATTGACTACTGTTAGGACAATTAAATTTCTAAAATACTGAAAAGAAACAAAAATTAGTATAGCAATTTAAAAATATGTAACAGGTTTTACGTCTATATCTAGTTTGATAGTTCATATCACTGTCACACTTGTCGGCAGAGTTCTTTCTGTTAATGGTGAAGTCACTGAACAAGTTCGAGAGGATAAATATGTTTCACAGGTCTTAGGAGTTCACCCGTTGCAGTTTTCACTTTGACAACACATACTTCGTTGTCTTTCCCAGGATATATTTCTACAACACGACCTATTGGCCAATCTATTCTCTTCTTGTCGCTGCCGACAAACACCAAGTCATTTTTGTTGATAGTCCGAGTAAATCGTTTAGGTGGTTTTAGCACTAGGATAGCTAAATATTCATCACTAAATCTTTTCTGAAAATGTTCTGCAAGAACTTCTATCTTTTTGTCAGATTCATGGTATCCAGGTAGTCTAAGTCTGGTACTCTGACGTCGTGTACATCTTGTAGAAACATTGAAGGAGTTAGTGCTGTAAGATCATTACTTGGATCTTCTGAAATGGTACGTAAGGGGTCTTGAGTTAATCACCGATTCGATATCACAAAGTATAGTCAACATTTCCTCGTAAGAGACAGGATTTTCCGAGAACATTTCTCAACATCATCTATGTTTGTACCAACCTCTCCCACCATGAAGCAGTTGGGGGATTAAACTTCCACTGTATTCTCATGTTGTATGAGATTCTATTCCTTTCCAACCTATCGATCTTAACAGATTTTCAGTTCCAACGAAATTAGTGCCATTGTCGCTGTAAATAATACTTGGACAACTTCTGGCAATAAATCTCCTTAATCCCAAGATGAATGCATTTGTTGATAAACTTTCTATCAGCTCAAGATGTATCGCGCGATAGACTGCGCAAGTAAAGAGCAAGATCCATGCCTTTTTTTTCTTTCCTTAAATGAAGACCGGCTACATCAACTCCGGTCACTTCAAACACCAGAGCATCTCGAACTCGATCTTCAGGAAGAGGTGCTGAAACAGTCTATATTCTTTGCGCTATATCTTCTACAACGAACACACTTCGTAAGAACTTTACGTACTGTTTTACTTCCTCTCAGGACCCAGAATTTCTGTCGAATATTGGCTAGTACGAATTGCACACTAGCGTGGGATAGTTGCAAATGGTAATCTAAAATTAACCTATGAACTAAAGTCATGATTTGAGGGCAATACAATTGGACAGAGAAAATTTTCTTCTTCCTGTCTTCTAGTAATCTTGGTCTTTAACCGAATAAGGCCATCTGAGTCAAAAAAGGTACAAAGGTTTCTAACTTTAAGTTCTTTGGCAAATGCTTCTATCTGTATTATCTTGCATATTTTCTTTTCTACGGTTTCTCTCTCAGGGACAGTGAGTTCTGATTGTTTAGAATCTGGTCTTCTGCAGTTGTTGATAAATCTGCATATCCAAG